CAGGTTTATCAGTACACTAACTACATAGACACAATTGATGTCACAATTCGCAATAGTCAAATGCGCCACTCGAATCACCAGCGTCAAATATTAGGGCGTTTCTTAAATAGGACCATAAAGACAGGAACATAACTGAAATTCCTTTCCAGAATTACGTAAAGCAGGCAGCAGTCTTCCTTCACGACAAAGGCTACCTGCGCAATCGTCTCCATCCAACCAGCATGTCTCATCCGCGTCATGCCGACTCGGTGGGAGGCATAGGCTTCCGCGGGGCGGCTGCGGGAGGCAGGTGTTTACATAACACAACATCGGCCCGCCCTAACCTCGTTTGAAGATCTTGCGAGGAGACGTGGGGTCATTATTACGTCACTAGCCCTGTAATAAAGGAACACGGGCGGTCGAACGGCTGGCTGAGCGGCACCGGCGGCTAGTCTGCAGTATTTATAAGTTCCAAGCACGAAGCGCGTCTGGGCTGTAAATAATATTGAAGTCCAAGAAAATACGATACTTGGATGGGACAGTTGTATTATTCAGAGCGGAGCCTGTATATGATTGCGGTGAAATATAAAGGTGTTAGCAATGGATGAGTGCGGTAGACACTCCAGTGAAATGCACTGCATGGGTGTGCAACCAAGCTGAAACGAGTTTCAAACAGTCCATGCTTTTCAAGTCAGATGCTCTGATGAATCTGCCTGCGTTTTTCGCTGAAGATGCAGGCACAATCAGCGAATCCATGATAAAAGAGGTTACGTTGCTGGGTGACAACAATCGAATTTTCTTCTTCAAAATTATTAAGCAGCGGTATCAAGAGCACCTCTGCCAACCACATACCGTAACGCATGCACCAAAACCACAAGCCGGCTTTCACACCCCGTAGCGCCAGGTCCCGTTTCCATTTCTGTTGAATCTGCCAACGCAGCACAGTCTGGGCTCCAGAGCACAGTGTAGCGGGCCGTGCACCAGCCTGGAGCAGCCAGCCCACCGTCACCGACAGATTGGACCGTCTCGGCCGTCCTGCACACGCACACCCGCCGGCCAGCGCACGGGCTGGTGTTAGCCCGGCCGCGTGTGTTTGGTGTCCGGTATCGATTGGCCCGCCCGATTCTCGGAGCGCGGCCGGCTGGCGCCCGGTGGACCGCCGCGCCCAACGCTGTTTGTGCACAGTATTGATGCACTCGAACGGTCGACCGCGCTGGCCTGGGTCGCGCGGCCGGCGTGATGTTGTTATCAGGCGCCGCCGAGGCTTCCTGAACAGGCGTGGAATGCGGTAGATGGGCCCAGTGACGCTGGATGCGATGGATACAGCAGCGACAAGGATAACTGGATCCAACATCGGTAAAAGGAGAACAATTGAGCACTTTTGCACATGGATCCAGCATCCTTCGATGAAACTTGAAAAAGCACAGATAAAAAGCCTCCATTCGGTATGGGGAAAAGGACCTTTGCCTGACCGAGTGCAAGGGAATTAGATCCGGCACCAGTGGAGTGATATTGTTCAGGCATAGTTGGAGGGTGTCTGGCCAACACTGTTGAGGAAAGCGTGATAACCAAAAACATTTCCAGCCTAATACTTTGTTCAGCAGTGACAAATGAGCCTTGATTGCTAGTTACCGTTAATGTCGTACTGAGGGCTAACAATTACCAATAATAGTGAAATGTTTATCTGAAGGAAGCAGCTATGATGTACAGACTGGAAAAAAATGCAGACCTCTTCAGCCACGTGCACCTGTAAAGCTGCGATGAACGGGACGGATGCCAGCACCGTTTACAAAATTTTCATTTGCGTTTACGTCAGTTTGTGGAATATTTATTTATTAGCATTACAGAAAGTTTATTGTGGTATATGGGCAAGCGCAGCCTTGAAAAAGAGCTCAAATAGCTTTGTCCCTACGCTTTGGAGCGTTCCCACAGTTTGGAGCAGACGAGACCATATCAAGACGAACAGATACAAAGCTATTCTGCTGTGTCGGGCATGCCATGCGATCCACTGGCTCTTCCAAAGCCGCCGAACCTCGGAGCCTCGCCCGGCGCCCGTGTTTTCGCCATAGCTATAGCAACATTGCTGGAAGGTCATGCAGCAATCGATTAGTACCGGACAAGGCGGATCCGACAGTAGGAAATCTGACAGCGCGCCGCCACAGCGCACCAGCGAGGTGGCATCGGCTATGTCCTGGAATCCGGCGAGGAATGCTGTTTGGGGCCAATCTGGCCATGGTGTTTAACGGGGCGATTGGACGAATGGTTGGTGTTGGCAGGGCACTCTTCTCCTTAACTGAGTTCTCAGGTAAAAGATGATCAGCTACTCCCGCCTCCATTGCGGCTCAGCTGTTCTAGCGTGCTCGCCAATGTCTAAAACTTACGTGACATAGCTTACCCCAATACAAAACAGCGAAATGCTCATTTAAATAATGGCCCACTTGATGGCATCAGAATGCAGTGTATGTGCGTAACCCCAACAGAACCGAACCACACACGTCTAGATAACTTCAAATATTACACTACTGCCTTTGCCACCGGTCGGAGCGTTATTAATGACATGACCAGAAAAGCACAACTGACTTGCTTCTAAGCCTCCTCAAAGCTTAACGCCGCACCTGCATTGGAGCCAAACAAGCGCACGTAGGCGCCGCCTATGGTCATCTTATTACCTGTCCAACATTCAGCAAACTCCAGCCAACACAACACGCCCATAATTAGTGCGGCCCTTTGGCTGCCCCGGCCAGCAAGTTCATGGAATCCCATTCGGGAGATGCCCAGGGGCCCGCTCAGAATCCCATCGGGAGGCGACCAGGAGCCCGCTCAGAATCCTATCGGGAGGAGACCAGGAGCCCCTCTCAGGATTCCATCGGGAGACGCCCCGCAGCCTCGCTTAGAATCCCATTAGGAGACGTCCAGGAGCCTGCTCAAAATCCCATCGGGAGGCGACCAGGAGCCCGCTCAGAATCCTAACGGGAGGTGACCAGGAGTCCCTCTCAGGATTCCATCGGGAGACGCCCTGCAGCCTCGCTCAGAATCCCATCAGGAGACGCCCAGGAGCCTGCTCAAAATCCCATCGGGAGGCGCCGTGCAGCCCCGCTCCGAATCCCATCGGGAGGCGGCCAGGACCCCGCTCAGAATCCCATCGGGAGGCGGCCAGGACCCCCGCTTAGAATCCCATCGGGAGGCGGCCAAGATCCACGCTCAGAATCCCATCGGGAGGCGGCCAGGACCCCCGCTCAGAATCCCATCGGGAGGTGGCCTGCAGCTCCGTTCAGAATCCCATCGGTAGGCGGCCTGCAGCTCCGCTCAGCTGGTTTATGAGGCCTCCGGTAAGCCTAGGAGGCAAGGAGATGTGTCTCCGAGAGGTTCTCGCCTCGGCGTGTAATGTCCAGGATATGTGAGGTCAGGAGATGTAAGGTCAGGAGATAAAGGTCAGGAAATATAAGGTTCAGAAGATCTGAGCGTCAGGAGGTGTAAGGTGTAGGAAATGTGAGGGTCAGATGTGGGAAACTGCGGAACTGTTCTGTCAGGAACCGTGAGCGTCGGATTTGAGGGCCAGAAGGTGTGAGGGTCAGGAGATGTAAGAATCAGGAGATGTGCCTCCCAGAGATTCCCAACTTGGCAAGTGAAGGTGGAGAGAAGAGTCACAGTGAGGTTCCCAGCTTGGTATGTGAAGGTCGGGAGACATGCTGCCTGGGGGCGGCAGTTCTGCAGGTTAAGGCCGGCCGTTCTGGGGACACGGATCGATAGCTTGTGGGCGGTGCGGTCAACATTGGCCGCCGGCTGAATCTCGTTAGCGGGGAGGTCCGGGCCGCCACTGTAGCCGCCCACACCCGGCACACGTCATTCAAACTGCGCACCCGAAATGTTTCATGCAAATGTCGCATACATTCAAACTCGGATACACCGGCCAAGATGATAACTTTTCTCAACTGCGCGCCATTGTAATTTTGTCTTGCGGCCTTGTATCTGGGTTATTTTACGATGCATGTAGCTGCTGTAATCAACGTCGTCACAATCTTTTGCAACCAACTGGTGCTAAAGGGGGTGAAACAACAGTCCATTCACCGGTTGGAGAATCCTCACCCACAATCGAGTCATATGTTCAACAAAGTGCGCTTACTAATCATTGACTGCGAACTGTTTAATGATTTTAATGACGTACATGCTTACTTACATGTAATGATACACAACATGCTTACTTACTCATATAGTATGCGCTTGTTGATTTGTATGCAAGTGTTCAAGCTGGCCATAAATGTAACGCTCGTATCGGCCATAGCTTGTTCCGAACGTTGCCAAAACGCTTTGCCAGTCTCCTGTTCAACTTGCCCAGAAATATGCCGAAAAGTGCGAAATTCAGCTCCTATTAAAGTTAACGTTTTCTATGCGCTACCACTGGACTGAAACCGGACTTTGAACAAAAGTTGGCTTGCCATGCCCCACTAAACGGCACATACGGATGCTTATGACTATGTAGAGCACATGCCAGCCCAAGCAATGCAAATTTAAGTCCTCAATGCAAACCAGTGCCCAATAAACGGTCGAACGAATCCAGTGGATACCACACCCATGAACCAGTGGATACCACACCCGTGGACCAGTGGATACCACACCCGTGGACCAGTGGATACCACATCCATGGACCAGTGTATACCACACCCGTGGACCAGCAGATGGCTCAGCTGGGATCTGGTGGACGGGTCATCCGTGGCTTAGTGGGCGACGCGTACGTGTGGACTACCGGACGTCTCACTCACCGGTGGGCAGCTTACTTCATGAGCGATCCAGTGAACAACTACATGTGAACAGCTCACCTGTAAACCAGCGAATACATCACCGGTAACCCAGTCAACATCTCACTGGTGGTCCAGTGCAAAACTCACCGGTGGCCACTGGAGGCCTCAAAGGTGGTCTAGTGGAGGGCTCACCGGTGCCTAGTGGAAGACTCACCGGTGCCTAGTGGAAGACTCACCGGTGGCCCAGTGGAAGCATTACTGGTGGCCCCGTGGAAGACTTACCGGTGGCCCAATGGACGGCCGAATGGCGCTCGTGGTCGCGGGCGGCCACATCGGCGCCCCGACGCAGCAGCAGCTTCACCAGCGACCGGTTGCCGGAGATCACCGCCAGATGGAGCGGCGTGTAGCCGTCCTCGTCGCTGGCGCTGACCAGCTCCGGCGCTGCCGTCAGCAGCGTCTCGGCGCAGCTGGTGCTGCCGCTGTCAGCGCAGTAGTGCAGCGCCGTCTTGCGCGTGCGGTCTCTCGCCCGTGCCGCCGCCGGCTGTTGGGCGGCGCGGCTGGGGTTAGCTTAACGGACAACGCTTGGTGGTGGTCTGGTTGAATCTTGGCAGAGGCAGGCTGGATTAGAAGGACATGGCAGGCTGCCGGTTGATGGAATATTTCATTAGATGGGACATGGTGTATGATGTGGGTAAGATCAAAAGAATGCCGTGTTGGCATTAGTTTTCTGTACATTAAAGACAGCGCACACGAAGGCGATAAATTTTACATGATCATGACATACGTCTGTAAGGATTTATCGAAAACCAGCAACGCAAAAAGCTTGAGCCTGTTTTGCTGATTATGTTTTAGGGTATCGTGATCGATATCAGTGCCAGAAGTGCATTACGAGTCATTGCTGGCCGGATTTTGTTATCGTTTGAGAGGAAGGGCAAAGCCGGCATGCAAGTCATTCCTTTCCATTTAACGCCACGGAGCTAATACTATGCTCTCCCAAAAGATAAGGGCAACAACCCCTCAGCCATTTAATCTACTGTCTCTTTCCAAAGCTGCATTAAGGCGCAGGTATGTTATGGAAAACTGGCAAACTCATTTGATACACCTGTTCAGAAGCAGAAGCAAAGCGGCCAGGCAAGTCGACGCTCATTTTTAAATGATAGAGTAGTTCCAGGGAATAATGGCGCGAGCATGCCAAAATTTTACCGCTGTTCGGGAACAGATCTTAACCGTGTGAATCTCAAACATTTACAGCACTTTGTCTATGTCATGACATGTTTCTATCAGTCTCGTTTTGATAACCTCACACAAGCATTGCTCAGATCGTCGTGCTACCGGCCTGATTTCCCGTCATCTATACTGTGCCGCAGGGCACCGATGCGCTCCAGTAGTACATCCTGAGCTCAGGCGGCTTAGACAGTACGCTAAACGTACGGCTTGAGCATGTACTCGAAGCGTCAGTTTTAGAATCCAACCCCCCACCGACGTGTCGTCATTTCCTCTGTGTCGTTGTGGCCCCCCGCATTCAACGACAGGCGGCCGGGCGTGTTGACCTGTTTGCTGAGGATGAGCCGGACCTCCTGGTCGTTCTCCTGCTGACAGGCGAGCATGAGCGGTGTCACCGGCTCAGCAGGACGCTCGTCGTCCACCTCGTCACCCGCGTTGTACGCCGCAGGCATTTCCGTTACCGTTGTCATGGTGATACCTGCCAACGAAAACAGTGAGTTTACTTTGGGAGTCAACTTTTAGAGAGCTGGTAGACTTCGACAAGTGACGGCCTGAGGGCTGAGGGTAAGGCTACCTATATACCACCTGGTTCTAGGTGCATGCGTTTGAAACCATGTCATGTCAGAAAATGAGTAGATTTTGCACAGAGGGGTCGAGTGGCTGTTCCTTCATTATATCTGCTGTTTCTTGCCCCCCCCCCCCCCCCAAAGAAACTTCAGGCATCTAATGATGTAATCTCGAGAAATTTCCGGGCTGGGTGAACCGAATCCATTGTACTGGTTAACTCCCGGAATTTACCCGAAACTGGGTAAATTTATCTTGAATGAGTAAGGCTTGGTCGGATAACGATTTTTGAAAGGTATTGTGTATGGGTATAGGTATTGGTTAGAGCTTCATGGAAAGTCGAGCGCATGTTTCAAGAAATTGCAACAAAATGTTGCTCATTGTGCTTCTTTGAACCAGAATTCGCTCCTTGATCACTACCTTTGCAGCCATCCACGCTTGGTGTAAGCTGTTCTGAAACTTTTCCATCAACTCTAGCTTAAAGGAAATGTTATGCATCTGAAGCTATTGGGGTAGGCATCAAATGTGATGGTAAAAGCTTACTTGTAACTATTGGTAAGCTCGAAGCACGCGAAAGCTGACGCCAACCAGCCATTCTCCTCGCCGGGGCTGTGTTGGGCGGCGGATTAGTGGGCGGTTTGTTTGTGAATTTTTTGTCTTGGTGCTGGCCGTAAGTCGTAAGCTTTGGTAGAATGTTTGACATACGCAACGTAGCGATCGCCAGCTTTTATGGCATATTATTAATATCAAAGCACGATATGCTGTGCTCTTGCTGTTGATGCTATACTGTTGATGACTTTGTCAATTTTGTGTTGTCGACCCATCCTTGCCTGCAGTGCTGTAGTCCTGACACTAACATCATGTGATGCGCACAGTAGTTGCTTTCTTTTCTGTTCGTAACTGGAAATGTGGTGTCATGCGAAAATTAATAAATTTGTATCGTTGCTATGAATCGATTGCCAAAGCATTGTTATTGCTGTGGTAAGGATGGTAAGGCTGGGCTACCAAGAATGTTTTTCTTATTTATAATTACTTATACAATTAACAGCTAACTCTGATGTATCCATTGTGGTGCAATAACATTTTTGCTGTTGTTAGTCCTTTGGCATTGTTAAATCAGTTGTTACCAGCCATTCATAAAGCATTAGCTGCTATCTCATAGGTTTGACATAGAGAAGTCAACCAATGTGGAACATTATGTTATGGCGCGCGTCAAAAGCGCCATTGTAGCACTTCCTCATAGCTGTACTGTGGGATGACATAATGAACAACGAAATGGTTTTTGTACTGCAATCCATGCTGCTTTCATAATAAATTTCATCATGAAAGGATGGGTCAAGCATGCACTCTTGTATTGAATCCCCATCTGACATACCACTGACCAAAAACACATGGTACAATATACAAATCACTTTCAGCAAAGCAGACAACCAATAATAATATCACTTGCCCAGCCTGCTTTAGGAATCCTCAAAACGTGGGTGAGAAGGATGTTAACACATCTCCCACTTCCACAATCATACAATATGCTGCAGCCATCAGGCTGCTTTACTAAAAATAACCAGAAAATTTTGTGTGTGCTGAAATGACGCTGCAAACATGCTGACCTTACACAAGGCTGGAGACATGACAAGTGCATGTAGTAATGGTTGGATGGGCAAAATGCTGGGAAGTGAAGAAGCTGCCAGTGGACACAAGGCTTGTGATACAAATTTTACTAAGCGTATTACCAATAGTAATACTTTTCTACCTTTTTCAGCACTCAGCATCTCGCGCAAGTTGCAGTGAAAATGATATTGATGACCCACAAGCGATGCTCGCCTGCATACAAAATTTGTTAATACAGTAAAATATGTATCAGTAATAATGCTGCTCTATATTTTCAGAATTTTCAGGGGAAGACAATTTTGCAAAGCCATATCGTGTGAGCCTATACTGAGCATGTCCATTAATGAGCTGCTCGCACGAGTCCCTACTGCCGAAATGCATTGCTCATATGACATGCAATGGATTAATTAAATGCTGTAATACCTCAATAAGTTCAAAAGGTTGGCAAGGTCATGATGAAGTACCAGATTGCCTTTATACACCCCTGCGACAAAGGTGCTAGTGTTTCTCTTAGTTTGTCGGCACTCCTTTGCCATGTTCAAACACAAACATAGAGGTAGAGGCAGGTATCAATGTTTCACATTTTGTTGGGAGTCAGCAGACTTAAAGAATACCAAAACAAGGTTCTCTCTCAGAAGCACAAACCTCGCACGCACACTCCCCATCACATCAAGATCAACATAAGCCACTGGCACACATCACCGGTGATCATTGTCAAATAAGTGTGATCTCACATTTGCACCGCCCGCGGGACTATCAAATGGAAGGTTTTCTCGCAATTTTCGCACAGATTTTCGGTTATAACACTGTATTGCACTATGACCCCCCTTTAAAACAAAGTCTCAACCGGGGTTCATGGTAATACGACTCAAGAGATTGTACTTGTAGAACACAATTTTTTGTTCAAGATTTGAATGTGTTGCACAATATGTGTGAAATATGAAGTAAAATATATATCTAAAGTTACTGTAATGTGTCCTTAATTTTATAATGCCTTGTCAACTCATAAACTCGGGAAGGGTTCTGTGCTCCGGTACACAAGGCGCCAGCCGAGCTGTCTGGAAAAAATACGCCTGTAGAAGAAGAAAAAACGTCAGCAGGGGAAAAAAGACAGATTTTCCGTCAAGTATTCTCTTTTATAACTTTCGGGACAGTGCCCGTTTTTTGGGTGCCGTACTTGTTTTTGCAGACAGTGGCGTTCTTTTTGTTTTATAACATTGACAAATTGGGATAGAAATAAAGAAAAGTGCCCCGTCGACGACGAGTGCCGCACAACCCGAAAGTGCTCGCGCTTACGTTCGCGACACGCATTAAGCAGTGAAATCTTGCTAACAGCTAATTATGTTCCACGCATTGTATCATACACGCCGCATCATCACTTTTGCGAATGCATCAGCGGCCATGCCGTTTGACTATAAGCAGAAGACAGCCTGTAGTTTCACCGCGATCGAATGACGTTTCTTTGACGTCATTAATGCCAAGGCGACTTTAAAATAGACCCCCAATAAACCTTTTCGCACTTTTGCGGGCGTGTAACTCCGGAATTAGGGCGCTTTGAGTCTTAAAAAGGACATGATCGTTAACTGCATCAAAAGGTCCTCAAGATGGCTATTTCAGTTCGAAACGCCGTCCAAATGTGGAACATTTCCTATCAGTAATTAAAGATGTAAACGGCCGAGTCCAACCAATTAAGAATGCATAGGGGGCGGGTATGGGCACAGCCCCATGTGCAGCGGGTTGATTGCGTAAACCGTCGAGGGCCTTTGGTGAAATCAGCAGGATCTAATGTATGCTGCTCTATGATGTTGCTGTCATACAATAATACCATTCTGACTTAGTTTATCAAACTCGTCTGGTATAAGTCAGGCGCAGAGCAACTTAGCTTGCTTTCTTCCATGTACCGTTGTATGTCCAAACCATTTTTTTACGGATATTGGGGCGGAGCGGAAGGCAGTCCCCCACCAATACCGCTACAGTTCTCGCGCTCGCGCTCGTGCGTTGAAGGAGATTAGAACAGTGAATGTTTGCTGGCGCTTCATTTATACATCTTGCCTTTTCGGTAACGCGATTAGTTGTGTCGATGGGTCGGACTGCTGCCCCGGTGCAACTTAATTGTTTAACGCTGAAAGAGCGACCAGGACTGAAAACCACAAGACATCCGCAATACACCGACAATGAAAGGGAAAGGATCAGTGATCACCTACGCTTAGATACGCTTCACCTATACGGTGAGACGTTCATCCGTTGCATAGAGTGTGAGACGTATGGTGTTTCTTGAATAACTTTGGCCTCTCACGATAATAGTGAAAATACACCTTGCACTTGTGCAGAATACCTATAAATGAAAATTTTAGAGCTTTTCACATCCCCCGAAGCCTACTGAAGTAATATCCGTCGCTTAGTCCCCTTCCATTCCCAGTGTTAAAGAAAGATTTATCACTGCTAATGCAGCTTTACAATAGCCACTACAAGATTGCTTTCACAGGAAATTGTGAACAATGGTGTATTAATACAGCTGTGAACTATCCAGCATTTATTGGTTTCAGTAAAACTGCCTGTTTCAAAGTGTTTATAATAGTTTGTAACCAAGTGCCGATAATTATTTACAAGATTATTCAGGAATATGTTTAGAAGAGACCCTCAGGGAGGAGAGCTTAACAGCAGTACTGTACAGTTACAAAGGAACTGAGCTGTTTCCAACTTCAGTGTGTCTTCACACGGGCAACTGACCTTCACACCGCATGCTTGTCTTCACATGGGGCCTCTGTGCGTGAAACTTCACCCTTTTCCCCGTAACCTTTTCACTGTGTCTCACCACCATACTGCCACACCTGGTCTGAGGGGACCGACCAGCAGCGACCGCCCAGCAGGGGACAGCCGGCGCGGGCCACCGGTCCTCTCCACGCAGCTCCGGGCTGAAAACTGAGCCCCGCCGTCTAGCGACCGTCGACCTGATTCCGACCGCACACGCAAGAGCACCGCCCAGGCCCAGCAATTCGTCACGACACGGCTCTCTGTGGGGAGGGCAGATACCCAGAGCATGGGACCGTGCTGACGATGGCCTCAACAGGTGACGCGTATTTATTGCGTCGAAGGGAACCCGTCTGGCTGCCAGCTGTAGTTCATCAGGTCGTCAGGGTGCTTATGGTCGGATGGAATCGGCAATCATTAATAAAATCTGCTGAGTGCGGATCCATGAGCCACTTTCCTGCTGGAAGAACGCACAACTCATTGCAGTTCGCAAGCTCGACGCTGGCTCCTTAGCTAGAGCAACACGCTGAATATGTTATAAACAAACACGTTTCG